TTTGTCATGTGACAAAAGTGTTCAGCAGAGATAGCAACAGACCAGGGAACAGGGATGAGGTAGACAGGGAGACGGGCATAGGCAATAGAATGGTCCCAAAGGGAAAGGTAAATCACTCACCTCATCTTGGGGCAAGACTGAGACTGCTCTCTTAATGCATACAGTGGGAATTCTGAGGCTTGGACTCCAGGTCTGACTGGCAATTGATTGTGTGACCTTGGGGGAAAATCACTCCCTCTATTAGGGCCTCAGTGTCCTCTGTACTTGCTAAGAATGAATCAGTTTGAAAACTGGAGGCCAACAGATGTATTTTGGTTGGCTAGGCCAACGTTTTATTTCCACAGGTTATGCCAGCTACTCAGTACACCATGGTCCCCTCTGGCCTTTATAAGCCTACCTCTACTTATAGACTCTGCCCCACCTTGTTCTCATGTTTCCAAGTATCCAGCTGGCTCCTGAAAGCTCCTGTACCTTAGTGACAGGAACTAAGTGATCTCAAAGAGGATCTAATTACTTATAGGCTCTTGTGACTCTACTCACCAGCCACCAACAAGGCAAGGAGAGAAGGAAGAGGAGAAATTGAGAGAAAGCAGGGCTTTCTGTCATAAGCACGGACACAGGCCATAATGGGCATGATTTTAAAAAGTACTACTTTAGGAAACATTGGGATGGATTTTCTCAAAGTAGCGCTCCTCTAATCCCTGCAAAAGATATGGCCTGTTTAACACATGAAGCTTTTCTTCAGTTTCAGTTGTTCTGATTTCCAAATTGAATATATATATTCTTTCCTTTTCTTTTCTTTTTTTTTTTTCTTTGCAAAGGGTATAAGCTACATAATGCTTTGGACTGTGCCTTGGACATTTTTCAGTTTTAGGTGTTTTTTTTTTTTTTCTTTTCTTAGCTTTGATTTGTTTAAAACATTGGTCTTTTGTGGGAAGTAGAACCAACTTGTAGCCCTTCCAGAGTGATTAGATAAGCAATTTGGAGAAAATGTTCTCTTGTTTTCTTCCCAAGGACAGTGTTGACACAGAGGTCTTACCAAAGCAGAAAGTTCCCTCATCTAGTATTTGGCTATCTAATGCTTGGGGCTCTCCTCCTCAGACAAACAGCCTGAACTCAAGGTCTCCTGTTTCAACCCTTTAGTATCTATTGTCTGGCAGGTAAATGTTGATTAGACCACAGTGTAAGAAAGACGTGGTGGAACCAAGGACCATGCATGGAGATAACCTAGAACCCTTGCTCAGATGTAGCCCACGGCAGCTCAGTATCCAAGTGGGTTCCCTAGTAAGAGGAACAGGGGCTGTCTCTGACATGAATTCAGTGGCTGGTTTTTTGACCATCCCCTCTGAGGGAGGAGCAGCCTTACCAGGCCACAGAGGAGGACAATGCAGCCAGTCCTGATGAGACCTGATAAGCTAGGGTCGAACAGAAGGGGAGGTGTACCTCCCCTATCAGTGGACTTAGAGAGGGGCATGGGAGGAGATGAGGAAGGGAGTGTGGGATTGGGAGGGAATGATGGAGGGAGCTACATCTGGGATGCAAAGAGAATAAAATGTAATTAATATAAAAATAATTTTAAAAAGTGGCACAGTGAAAAAAGAAAAAAAAAAGAAAAAGAAAGAGGTGGTGGAGGACCCTTTCATGGGTGAGTTACATGTGAGATCTCATTGCTTACCTACCACATCCCCTCTTGATTTATGTCCCACTAGGAAACTTTTACAGTTGCTTCTTTTCATTTAATTATTTTTCAAATCTTATTTATTTGTTTTCTTATTGTTTATTGAGACAGAGTCTCCTCTGCAGGTCAACCTGGCTCTGTACTTTTGATCATTTGCTCCAGACTCTTGAGAGCTGGAATTCTAGGTATATGCCACCTTGCTTGGTCTCAGTTGCACTTTTCTATGTCCTAGTCCTTGCCTAAAAATGCCCTCTTGGACCCTCATCTCCACATAATCAAGGTCCTCTCACCTAGCCCCTCTATAACTTTCTGGGGCAGGATTGATGTTACATCATATTGAGACATCATCAAATATCGTAAAGCAGGGCTGACCTGGGAGCAGAGGAACTGGCCAGAGGTTTAGGCTGTTAGCCTAAGGGTGGCCTTGATGGCAACAGGCTACATTCCAGGTAAGAGAGAACAAGAACTCACGCTGACCATTAATAAATAAATAGATTTAGTGTTGCCTGGCAATGTAGTAAATAAAGTCTTTTGAAAAGTTAAATCTACATCTGCCTCATTTGAATACCTTGAGTTAATGGTAGCTTTCTGGTTTGTAGGTCAAACACTGCTGCTTCAGGGTTAAGTCAGGGAGACATGAATAAATGAACTATAAGATACCATATTTAGGGCAGGAAGGAATGTTAGAGAAAACAATGAAGAGAGTAAGTTGTCCTAACTTTATTTGTGATCATTTTTAAAAATTCTGCTTGTTGTTTTTGCTTTAAAATGTATTGCATTTCTGGATAAAGGGGAAGACATTTAAATTCTACTAGACACTATCTTTTTTTTTTTTTCTGAGTTGTCTCTTTTTAATAGATTGATTAGGTAAAAAGCTCTGGGCAAGGAATTAGGGGAACTGGTTCTACTGTTGAAATCTTCTTTTGTTCCCCCCTCCCTTTTTCAGCTGAGGGTGGAACATAGAACATCATACATGCGAGGGAAGTATTTTCCTGTTGAACTTCACACCTACCCCTCAACTGTTAATTTTCTGGCATTTTTTAAAACTTCCCCTGGCTTCAGTTTCTTCTTTAAAGCAAGGCTAATGAATTAAATGAACCAGAAGAACCATCTAGAAGATTTTATGAAAAAATAACTTGTCTCTTTAGACTAAAGCAGTTCCAATTTATGGGACATAAACACTGATCACTGAATGATACAAATTTATATTAATTTAGCAAACTGTGTACATAGAATATGCATATTTTGAAAGGAACTCAAGCTTTATTACCTCATTTAGTGATTCCCTAGTTGCAGTCACTCCTGTCCCATCTTCATAATTTTTGTCATATTTGTGTATACCCAGAATTATTTTTTAGTTAAGAGTTTATATACTGATTGGGACTTTTAAAATATTAGTACCTTAGTGTCACCTAAGCAACAATATCAATAAAGTTACATATTTGGTATGCTAAATGTGTTTCTGTTGAACATTAAAATTAGGTTTTCATTTAGATGTCACTGGAAGTCAATGCCCTGCTTTGGAAAACATTGCTCTGGCTCCTTGTTCACAAGCGGAAAATAAAGGTTAAAGAGATTAGCCATCTTTGCTTCTTATCAATCAGCAAGTTGCTATGGAGCCATAACTAGGGGATGCCTCATGTGACTACATCACAGTCAGAGGCAGAGCTGTGGGGAAAACCTAGATTATGTGACACCTAGGTCAGATGTCACTCTACCACATCATTCTTATTCCATGGTTGTCATTAATGCATAAGATCCATGCTGTTTAATTGAGATGGGAATAAAATTCAGATATTTTAAAAAACTTATCAGTTACTTTTATTGTAAAATTTACTTTTTAAAATAATTTTGCTATATAATAGTATCTTTTTATTATTTTAAAATTTGGTATATATGTTTTGTATTATATCATTTTTGTCTTGTCTTCAACCTCTCCCATAACTTCCCTTACCCCTTGGTCCTTTTCAAATTCATGGTGCTTTTTTTCTTTAACTATTATTATTACACATTTTGAGTAAATATATAAATACAACCTTCTGAGTCCATATAGTGTTGTCCATAAGTACATATATTTTAGCGTTAGCCTCTTCGTATTGAATATCTGGTTATGGGTCTCATTTGTGGGGGATGCTGATTCTCCTCCTTTCAGCAGTCATGGCCACCTTATAGCTCTTTTTTGTACAATGTGTTTCGATCATATCAAATCCCTGTCCACCTTTCTCCCATCCATCTTCTCTCTTCCCTACTCACCTACTTTTGAGTTCTCTCATCTGTCTACCCATCAAATCCAATTTGTGCTGCCTATATATTCTTGAATGGGTGGCCTTACATTGGAGTGTGGTTGACTTCTCAGGGACAGCACTCTGAAAAACTCTCCCTCTCCCAGCAGCTATAAATTGCCAATTAGCCCTTGGCTAGGGGTGAGCTTCATGCCCACCTATCCTTTCCACAGTGGGATTTGGTTTTTCTTGAGGATACATTAGAGTGTCTTGAAAGGCAATCTTGCTATATAGCTTAGGTGGCCCTCAAAATCATAGTGGCCCTGCTTCAGCTTCCCAAAGGACCAAGACTATAGGTATATGCAACTGCTTGCCTCAAGTCTGGTACATTGCAACTATAACATCACCAAAAACAGTGAATGAATCCTGTGCCCTCAGATGAGTCATCTGAAGTTCTTAATTACTTTATTAGATATGGAGAGAAAGACAGTAGCTAACATGGACCCAAGTGCACTGTGTGCCTTTTACTGGTTTACCTGGTTTTATCCTACCACCATCACTAGGAGAGAATGAGACCAAATTATTTCTCAAGGAATATTCTGCCCTGAAGTTTTATACTTCTAACAAACAGAAGAAATCCAAATGTGTTTATCTAAGAGCTTGTATGCATGAAAGGAACATGAACATTTGAGCTTTTAGGAAAAGCAGTCTCACTGGTCAAGATAAATACAAATCAGAAATTCATAAAGTAGCAAATATCTCTTGAGATGTATCTCATATGCCCCATATGAAGAGTTTCTGCCGGGTAGACTGAACAGGAGACTGTCTTGTTCTCCTTGCTCAAGGTTAGAAGTTAAATTCTCTGAACTCCAATTGTCCCCTTTTCTGAAAAATAGGCTTACCAGTCCCTGCCCTAGTGACATCACAGAGCTGTTTGGAGGCAGATGAGGTAATGGCTTTCAACAGAAGTCAGAAAGTTAAATGCCCCACTGAACTGAGAAATCTAGGCTTCAGGGAACACACATAGAAGGGACTTCTTGGTTGCTTATTCTCATCCTGAATGCTCTCAGGTTCTCATTTGTGTTATTTTTCTACCCTAGATTTACTATTCTGAAGGTGGAAAATCTTCTGCCATTGGGCAATTCAACGGTCGAATTATAGGTTCTACTGATCCAGGAAACGCATCTATCACCATATTGAATATGCAGCCAACAGACAGTGGAATGTACATCTGTGATGTCAACAACCCTCCGGATTTTGTTGGCAAAAACCAAGGCATCCTTGATGTCACTGTCTTAGGTATGGACATTATTTTCATGCCTTTTCTTTTCTTGAATCACCTCAGTGAATGAATGAAGGTACTATGTTATGGTGTCAATTACATCCCTGGGACTAACTGTACTCTCTGCTTTTTTTAATTATCAGAGACATTTTTATTAATTTAAGTTTTATTTTATCAATAGAGACAGTTTTCCATCTCAATCCATATACTAAAACCTTAAAATTACCATAAAATGTAAAAAAATAGTCGCCAGAGAAAAGGGGTCACTAAAATGTCGTGGTAGATAAATGAACCCCTAAGCAGCCCTATCTCAGAAGACAAGTTAGACAAGCATTGGCCTATCGATGATCACCAGTAACTCTTTCAAGAGGAACTTGTACATAGACCAATATTTTAGCTACAAGAACTGTCAACCTATTTATTCCCTTTTCCAAATCTACTACAATTCTCACTATAGAATCATTCTTTCAAACAAAGGCAAAGAGTCCACTTTTTTTTTGATGTGTTTCTATTGTTGTTTTTATTTTGTCTTCTTTTGTTTTGAGGTAGAGTCTCAAGGAGCCATAGCCACCCTAGAGCTTGCTAAGTAACTGAGTAAGACTTTTGAGTATGGAAGGGGGAGTGTCCCTTTTAAAAATACCAGTGCTATTTGGGAAAAAATGTTACTTGTTAAGCCATTATTAAGAATAAACACATTTATTATATGACATTAGACAAGCCACATCTGCTCTAGTATAGACTTGGAGATATTCATTCATTCAAGATTTATGGTGCTCCTACTTTTTACAAGGAGATATAAGGCTGGTAGTGATGGAGAATTGGCTTTTGCCCTTTGAGGAACACTTTTTTTGGTTGTTTTTATTTCTAGGGATCCTACTGAGAACACAGCAAGGGGCTACAGGTCTGCTTACAGAGACTAAAGTAGGAAGTATTGGAAGGAGGGAAGGAAGGGTTTGAAACCCTTACAAGTAGGCTCAGATGGAGCTGATCTACTCATTGCTCCTGTCAGTTTGAGTATGTGAATCATAAGAAAGGAGACTTAGGCCACTCAGTGAAGAGGTAGTAGAGGACCTTAGGTCAAAAAGAAGGGGAGGGAGACCTCACCTATCAGTGGACTAGGGGAGGAGCATAGGGAGGGTGGGATTGGGAGGAGACAAGGAAGAGGGGCAAAGCCAGGATATAAACTGAATAAATTGTAATAAATGATAATAATAAAAAATTAAAAAGAAGCAGCCAATGGCAACAAGGTGTACATCTAAAAGAACTATCTGCAGTTGTCTTGCTATCCATGTGGTACTAAAAGGAACCCATTGATGTTTACTGTGATGTCTGCCATTGCATCTACTGGCCTGAGAAAGAGGGAACTCTTACCCAGGAGGTGATGTTTAAGAGTGAGTTTGCTCAGTTAGTTGTGTTTTATTGTGTTGAGCCTTGTGTTAGGCCTTAGGGTGTAGAAATAGATGAACTCACTTCTAGAACAGCTTATATTGCAGTTATGTTGCAGAAGATCAGTCTTATGTATGGGGAAAAAATAAGGTGGCATGAATGCCAAAAACATGAGACTGGAAATCAGAAAACTTAAGTTCCAGTCCTTTCTCTGTTCTCAGTGACTTTTTACAATATAGTCCACCACTCTTGGACCATTGTAAGATAGGTTTTAAGTCTGTCTTCTCTACTGATTTATTATGAGAATTCAATTAGGTGCTGGGGATTAAAGAGCCTTTTAATGTTCATGTAATTTGAGGGATTAATCGTCTAATGATTTTCTGTTGCTGCTATGTCTCTGGAGTGATTTGAGAAAAAGCAATCTTCAAGAAAAGGCTTGGAAATAGCCCTGAGATAAACTACACAAGAAGGTTAATATTCTTAAGTTTGAAGTTCAGAGGATTCCCAGTGAATTTCTACAAGCTAAAGATAGCTTAAGCTAGATGTTTGTTTATTTGTTTTCTTGCTTATTTTTTTTCTACAAATCTTTGGGTCAGATAAGTTTTGCTATAATTTTTGTCATGATTATTCTTGAAGTACCCAGAATCCATAAAATGAAATGGAAGATACTGAACAATCTATAGATTTCCTTATCAAGAAATTGTTAAAAATTCTATTTTATTAATTTAAAAAAGAATAAAGTTATCCTGTGAATTTCAACTTTCTAAAATTAGTGATAGTAAATTATTTCTAAATTTTTAAAATCTCTTTGCAGTTCTCAAATCCCATTGCATATGAACAGCCTGAGTGGGCCTGAGCAAAGTAGAGATGGATGGATCAGGGGGACCAGTTATTGGGGAGAGATACTCCATTGAGGATGGGTTATCATATCATTGCATTTTAAAATTTTTCTTTATTGTAATGAACTCACAAATAAAAATGCCACACAGTTAGATTATGGTAACCACTAAAAAAACAAACAAAAAACAAAAACAAACAAACAAATAAAAAACAGTTTCCCAGGTCCAAACTTCGTGCAAACTCAAGTTTGAATGGCCATGCTGAAGTCATGGGGATTTGCTTAGGCCTTTACTCTGTCACTGTTATTTACCTTTTAATGAACTTATTCAGTACAAAAGAAAAAAAAAAACTATAAGAGAGTTGAGATGAGAAAAAAAATTAGCTTTATATTCTTTTTATGATTCATGTGTCCTTTTGCCTGCATTACATCCCTTTTCATCACCTAATAATGCCATTTCTTGTTCTCCTTTCTAAATGTTACACTACACCCTTGTGTTTGCTATGTAAAATGTTATACTATACCCATAATGTGTATATGTTTATAGGTAAACAGCTGTGAAGGTGTGGTTATAGTATAACAATGCATCTTTCAGAGGCATTTATCTCCCAACATGGCTATTAATTCTGAGTATTTACTTGGCATTCGTGAGTTTCTTAATCAAATCTTGAGAACATGTTTCAGTTATTGCTCTAAGCAATAGAAATAATAAGATTTAAAAGAAAGGGTTCTAGCCCTCCAGAAACCCAATCTAGTGAAAGAGACAGGTTGCATAAAAGCTTTCATTGGGAATAATGAGAGGAGAGTTGTGAAAGCTAGGGAAGGCTGATAAGGGGAAGAGACTTTTGTGTTGGTTGAGAAAGGATGCCCAAGAGTGTGTCTGGCAGAGCACAGACTGAAGTGGCAGGGTACCACTCAGGTGAAAAAAGCAGCAGTGAGAAAGGAAACAGGTGGTTTGGATGGACATCCATTTTAGAGATTTCCATTAGTTATGACAACTTTGGAAAAGCAATCTCTGAAAAATACCCAGATCAACTCTGAATAATTATTATATGCACATTTAAAATGAACACCATCTCCATTTTGCACTTTGGCACATAAAAATTATTAATTCACAGAAGCTTTTTCATTTATCTTCTGAGATGAGCCTTTTCCTTCCACCTCAATTTTGATGAAAGCAATAAAGGCAAAGGGTAGTATGTTTTACTGGCCATCTCTTTTGGGGACTTGAAGTGGATGAAATGTCAGCTCAATTCTGATTTAGTAGTTTTAGAAGACATATGGGTTTGCAGCTTGTATTGAAATGAGTCACCTAGTGTTTTGTTAATAATAAAAAGAGAGAGAGGAGAAAAAGAAAAAAAAGAGGCCTAATCTTTATTTGAATCTGGATTCAATGAAGAGTGCCCATTATTCTAGGTTGCTATCTATAATCTAGTCGTAGTGCCTGACTTTTTAATGTTGAAATGCCCAGAATTTGCTGGGTATGGTGACACATGTCTGTAATTCCAGCACTCAGGGAGGCAGAGACAGGCATATCTTCTGTGAGTTTCAAGCTAGCGTCATCTACAGTATGACTCCAGGACAGCCAAGGCTACACAGAGAAACCCTGTCTCGAAAAAACAAAACCCCCAAATAAAAATATATCATATAAAAAGAAATGCCCATATTTTATTGTTCAAATTGTTCTGTCCTAATACAGGGGCTATAACACTTGAACAGTTTTTTATGACACCATGCCCAGTCATAATTGAATGTTATGGTGAAATGGCCTAGTCTAAGGTAGGCGAATCAAGTTTTTTCCCATTTCAGAAAGCCATTGATATGGAAGAGAGGATGGAAATATAAACAGAAGAATATTTTAAATCAAAACTTGCCAGTTTCCAAAGAATAATGAAGCATTTTGAAGAGTTGTGTTTATATACATTTGTCTTCTTCATGTGTAACAAGGGTTTGAGTCTGAGATGGCTTACCATCGCAGAAGCTGATAAAAGATTGATTTCAGTAGCAAAAATTAGTCTAGTTCATAGCAAACAGCAATTCCAAGTACCAGATCCTGTATATGGTATTTCATTTTGACCAGCTAGAGGTAAGATCATTTTTTTAATTTATATTTTATAGATGAGTCAATTTGAGGTTTAGTTCAGGTAGGTAACTGGGTAAAGTTGCAGAGTCGGTGTTCGGTGTGGATCCAGATCTGTCATCCTGCATCCCAGAAAAACCAAAGGCATGAGTAGTCTGAAGCACTCAAAGTATACATTTCATAAGTTAGAGAGTTTTCATAAAAAAAAGATAATAAAGAAGAGCTAGGTGTGTTGGCATATTTCTATAATTCTAGCACTTGGGAGGTAAAGGCCAAATGATTATGAATTGAAGGTTTATCTGCAGCCACATAGCAGGTTCAAAGTGAGCCTAGGCTACATGAGACCTTGTCTCAAAAGACTCACAAACTAACCAACCAACTAACCAAACAAACATAAAACAAAATTGGAAAACGTAGAACTTATGATCATCATCTCTGTACCTTTTTAAGGATGGACTGAGTGGTGCAAATTAAGGAGAATGGGGAAATTGTGACTCACAGCTACCCATAGAATTTCTCCATCCAGGTGTTTTTATAAACAGCTGAAAATTCAGCATGTCCCAAACTGCCCCCAATATCACTCCTTCCTCTTCATCCCTTCCTCTAAAACTTGTTCTTCCATCTGAATCCTTTATCTAAGGTAGTGAGTGGAACAACCATGGACCCAGGACCAGAAGCCTGGAAATCACCATAGATCTTACCCTCTTTGTCAGCTTCTGTAACTAGCTGCTCACTAGCTCCTGTTAACTTTATTTCCTTAATACATCTTGAATACCTTTCCCTTGGTTCAGGTACCTTCAGTATCAGAGAGTTCCATGTGAAGTATTAGAATGATCAACATTACTATCTTTCTTAAACTCCTTTCATGGTCTCCCTTTTCCTAGTGCAAAACACATGTAATACAGAGCCCTCCCAGATGCAGATCCCAACGTTCTTTGTCTCTTGTTACCCTTAACCACACTTTGGAACTGTGACAAAGTTGCTTTTGAATCTGCACTGCCTTGTCCAGTGCTAGGCAGACAGCTAACTCAGGCACATAGCAAAATGCCTGTTGGGTAACAGAAAAAAATAAAGATTGCAATGTCATGTAGCACAGATGCAAAATGGGCTTCTGCTGAGGAGGGACATGAGCAAATTCAAACCTCTCCAACAATTGTAGGTCACCTATAGATGAATAAATGAAAAACTGCCTCAAAAAAAGAATAGAAAATGTAGTATTGATGGAATATTTAAAAAAAATTTCTAAAAAGGTTTTATCTCAAAGTATTTAAAGACCTCTGCTTTCATTTAATCTTGCTTTTAAAACACAAGCTGTTTCTGCTTAGAGTTTGCTTACATTTGGCTGCTTTAATAAAGGCATATCTTAGGCTACAATGAGGAAATGCATGGTTATAAATCCGGTGAAGAGGCAGACAGAGTAGACACTATTTGAATCTTAATGGGCTCCTGACTAGATGCTCTCTGCAGCTGAGGTGCTCTACTCCCATCTGGTGGTAGAACCAGAAAACTGCCCCCAAAAAACGTTTTTAAAGAATAAAATGAATAAACAAATATATGTATATTCTGTGCAATAAGAGGGAGAAAGTGACTGCAATGGTCCAGACTGCCATTTTCTTGCAGGAATCTTACTCTTTGTCATTGTCTTACAGTCAAACCTTCCAAGCCCCTTTGTACCATCCAAGGAAGACCAGAAGCAGGCCATCCTATTTCCTTGACTTGCCTTTCTGCTTTTGGAACACCTTCTCCTGTGTATTACTGGCATAAGATTGAGGGAAACACCATTGTACCAGTAAAAGAAAGCTTCAGTGAGTATTGGTTTTCATAAGTTCTGGCTTGGTCTAATGTTTGGATTGTCTAATAGTATGTGTTGCTGGATGCTTGTCTGAAGAGCTCAAACATTTATTCCCTTGATGTCAGCATTTATATGTGGGGCGTGGGTGTGCTTAAAATGATGCCTGTCTCCTAACATGACGATGTGGTATAGCTATTTCCCAGAGTCTAGAATTCAGTTGAGAGGTGATGAATATAGCAGGTCTTTGTAGCAGGGTTACTTTTAGAGCATCCTAAGACACCTAGTTGGATCCTGTCCATCTCAAGAGAGGCCACTGTAAGAGACTGGGTGGGCATTAAACAATGTAAGCTGACATGATGAGATTTTAAAACACTGTTCCCTGATCTTGACAGACTCAGCCACTGGAGTTTTGGTTATTGGAAATCTGACAAATTTTGAACAAGGTTATTACCAGTGTACTGCCATCAACAGTCTTGGCAACAGTTCCTGTGAAATTGACTTAACCTCTTCACGTGAGTTGGCTTTCAGACTTTATCCTTGAGTTCTGTTGCCTGGGCCTACCAGTTGAGTACATTTATTAGGATTTCTCCTTAGTACTTCTTGCCTCTCTGGTGATTTCTGTGCTTTAATGGTAAGTTGATATGATGAATGGCCATCTTAATTCTAATTGATACATATGTTCCCTAAATCCTTCACTGAGTAGTTTATTTAAGCATCACACATCATTAGAAAGTAAGCATTGCTATTTGATAAGTAAAAACAGTGGTGTTATTAATATTAGCAGTCTAGGATGCTCTTCCTGATGCAGTTGATAAGTCCAGCTAGCTCTTTGGCTATCTTTGTCAAATGTACAGCTCACAGACTTCTGATTCTTGACTGCCTTATTAAGATCAGCCTCCAGAAAATGGGGAAGAACATTTCAATATAAGGCACAGGCAGGACTTTCTGAAAAGGGCTTGGGTAGGCCAGGAAGTAATGCCAAAAAAAAAAAAAAAACTAATAAAAGGAGCTTCCTCTTGCATGAAACTTAAAAGCTTTTGCATACCAAAAAACAATAAAAAATGAAACAACAACCAAACCAAACCAAGCCAAAACAACAACAGCAACAAAATAACAACAACAAACTGAATGAAGAGGCCACCTAGAGAATAGAAGGAAATCCTTTACAGCCATTTAGCCAACAGAGGATGATAGTCAGAATAGATGAAGACTTAAAAATAATTAAACATGAATAATCCAATTAATAAATAGATAGATGTTTTGTACAGACAGGTCTCAGAAGAATTGCAAATAGGCAACGCTTACATGAAAAACACATGTTCAGTATTTTTCACCATCAGAAAATGCACATCAGAATTCTGGAAAGCTTCCATTTCAGCCCTATCATATGACTAAAATAAAGAAATGTAACAATAAATTCAGGCTAGGATATGGAAGAAAAAGAACCCTCATACACTGATGGTGGCAATGTGAATTGAGCAACCACAATAGAAATCATTATGGAGGTTCTGCAAAAAAACTAACAATACAGCGACCATATGACCCAACTGTATCACGCCTGTGTCTATAACTAAAAGAACTCAAGCCAGGATACCACAGAGATAGTTGTATAACCTATCTCAGTATTACATCAGCCAGGTTACAGACTCACAAATTGCTATTACATGATAAACGGATAGAGTTTTATTCGGCCACAAAGAACAGTAGCATTATGTTGTTTTCAGGAAAATGGAAGTGAGAATTATTATATTGAGTGAAATAAGACTTCTTAAGAAAGACAAATAGGGCAAGTTTTCTTTCATAGGCAGAATCTTTTTTTTTTTAAGGCATGAAAGTAGAAAGGGAAGAGAAAAAGTGTTCACTGGGAGGAAAATGTAAGGGAAATGAAGAAAAGTAACAGGGATATGAATATGATCAAAGTTACATGATATACATTTAAGAAAACGTATTTATACCCAGAATTTCTATGTACTCAATTTCTGTTCTAATATGAAATAAAACTAAAAGTTTAAAAACAAATATCTGCCTATAATAATAACCAGACAGTCTCATTTACAATCAAAATACCTAATGTTTACTGTTATTACTGTTAGGATTAAATTATTTCCCAGACACTTAGCCAGGTACTACATGAACAATAGCTCCCTCGACCATCCTTATTACCCTATTTATGGAGGCAGAATAAATACATTTATTAGTTTTATTTTCCTGAAGGGGACACTGAAAGCTTAGAGAGGTAAATGATGTACTCAAGTTCATGCAGTTACTAACTTGTATAGCTGGGATGCCTCTAAATCTTGATCTTTGAGTTGAAAGGTTCTTATTTACTCCCTGCCATTCATACTTAAGATCCCTGAAACTGACAGATTAAGCCAGATCCTGAGACAAGCCCTTGTAGGGGATGTCTTAGCACATCTCTTAAGGATCACTTGATAACACTTAGAGCCTTGCTGTACTCCATTCTCATATCACTTTCAGCTCTTTCCTGTGGCCATCTCTGTTGTCTTTCTGAACTTCTCACTCAATGGGTGTCTGCCCTTCTAGAGACAGACAAACATCACAGATGTTTAATCATATATAATTAGTAATCAAGTCTGCTTTCCAATGAACTCCAGCATTTTTCCTGGCTTTCCTTCATTCCTGTCCTCTTCTGTCTTGCCTCCTTTCCTTTCTTTGCCTTCCTATCCTCTTTTCCTCCTAAGTCGTATGTTGGATATCTATTATGGATAGTCATGATTGATGAAGAAGCAGAGGTTAAGAAGAAATATGTCTTTCACTCAAGGAGCTCTCCATTTAGCTAAGGATCCAAACAAAGGCTTTTATGTACTAAATACTATAGTATAGGTCTACACAGAGTATATAGGATACCAAAAGAGGAACACTTACAGATCTGGAGCATCTGTGCTGATCAAGTACTGTTTGGGCTGGCAATTGAAAGTACTAACAGAGGCTATTATTTCTGTAAAATGGAGAAAACATTTTAAAGTGCCATACAACAGAGAATCATAGTATGGGTGGTTCTGAGCTATGAACAGTATTTTCTTTTCATAAGGTGAATATTTAATTAAAGACTGTACTGTAATTGTATTAGGAGAATGCAGTGGGAGATGAAGAGAGCTTAGAAATTCAGAAGTGAATAATGAACATTGAGAAAAAACCAAGCCATCTAAGAGCAAGCATAATAGAAATATGGAGTCAAAAGCAGCTTTGGAAAAGTACTGGGAAGTGGTTGGAGTGGGTCAAGAGAATGCTGCTTTGTTAAAGGTTTAGAATTACTTAATTTTTAAATTTTTCATGTGTGCTCTTTTCTGTTTTACTTTATTCTGTGTAATTTATACAATAAATTTTACTAATTTTCATTCTCCCATACCCCTCGTCCTTATCTACCTTGCTCCCACTAGAACTCATTTTCTCAACAAGTTCCCTTTCTTTCATGTCTTCTTTAAGTGTGTGGCCTACTGAGTTTAATCAGAGTTTCTTTCCTAAGCATTGGTGGGTCTTTCACTCATCCATGGTGAAATGTTAAAGGACCCAGTCTTGTTTCATTCTTGTGCAGTGAGTTCATGTTCATGAATACAGTAGCTACATCATATCCAGATGATTTGTTTTACTCATCTCCCCATCCTCTGGTTCTTACACTCTTCCCATTCCCTCTTCTGTAGTGATCCTTGAGCCTTGGTGATATAGCTGTACCATTTAGGGTTTTTGAGACAAGGTCTTTCTGTGTATATTGCCCAGGCTGGTATCAAACTCAGGATTTTTCTGCCAGCCTTTTGAGTGCTGGGATCACAAGCATGTACCACTGTGCCTGGCTACATGGACTCCTTTATTTATTAGTTGGAAAACTTATTATGCAAACTTAGTTTTTCATTTCAAAATATAAGCTGTTGCCCCTTAAGGGAAAATAGGCGGAAATGGTCTGGCATATGACCCAAACATGTTCTGTCAGGAACAACACCTCCGGGCTTGAAGGTCTGGTGCTTAGCTGGATTGTCTCACACTCATTAAACTTTTCCATAGACAGATGTAATAAACCAGATGCCTGTTTATCCAGATGGCCATATCCTTTCCTGGTGGCTTGAATGCAGGCAGCTTCTTCATGAGCAAAGAGTATGTGGAGGGGATGCTTTTTAAGGAAGTTTTTAGATTTCACTTGGGCTCTGGGAAAGCTGATAAAATATCCTTGCCTGTAATGAAACATGTTTCTGGTTACCGGATTGCCATGGCATGTCTCTGACCACATAAATGCACATTTGAAACTTTATTCCCTAAATACTACTTTAAAAACAAACCTGCCTGCCAAGTGAGTATATTTTTCTTCACTTGTATATATGTCAGCGTTAAGCTGCACAGCCAAGGGCCTCACACTCATTTATCCACTAGGAACCCAAGTAGCAAAATTCTGGGGATTTCTAGGCCCTCCACCTATACTTGTCACTTTCTTGCTCTGTTAGTCTTCTGGATAGTTTTCACCAGTCTCAATGTACGTACATGAGAAGGAAATATGTTCTGATTCACCAACTATCTTATCTGTGTCTTCTAGATCCTGAAGTTGGAATCATCATTGGTGCCTTGATTTGTGCCTTGATAGGAGCTGCTGTCATCATCTCTGTCATATACTTTGTCAGGAACAAAGTTAAGTCAAAGCAAAAGAAGAGGAATCTCAATTCAAGCACAGAACTTGAGTAAGCCCTTTTTGACTTATAGCCACATGTCCATTGTTGTCTTTGCTTGCATACAAGCATTCCTGGGAAGTAGCTTCTAGTAACCTCCCCCTAAGGACCCCTTTTTCATTATAGCATACCAAGGTTAACTTTCTGCCTGCTCTGTCTGTTTTCATGTAACAGGAAACCTATAAAAGCAAAAGTACACAGGGCCCAGGGCAGTCAGAATTTGGTTGGTTGCTATTTATTCCGCAGTTTAAGTGATGGTCATCCCCTTGCTCACCCTTTCTTCTTCTTTTTAAACTCATTTTCATATTTTTGAGATTATAATTACAACATTTCCCTCTTTCCTTTCTTCCCTTCTAATCCTCCACATACTCCTCCCTGTTTTTTTTCAAATTCATGGCCTTTTTAAAAATTGTTATTGTGTGCAGATATGTATACCTATGTACATATATGTTCCTAAATACAACATGCTCAGATACCATTGTATCTATGTGCAAGCTTTTGTGGCTGACTACTTGGTATTGGATAACCAGCTGGTGTGGCCTTCCCTGAATTTCCATCTTCTTGATTCCAAAAATATGTTTTGTACAACAGTCAGGATCCGAGTGTTGTACTAGCGATTTAGAGATACAGCTGAACCATGGATTTCACCTTCAAATACCTTCTTAGTTTCTCAGACGTTTCTTCACCTCAGTCTTCCATCTTTTAATTGCTGGTATGTTTTTCTTGGACTTTCATATTGTTGAAATCTAACCTTTCTAAACACCAGAACAAACATATGTTGTCTAAGCAGTTGTCCTAAACTAGAGGTTCTCAAACCTGTCGGTCATGACTCTTTTGGCAAACCTCTGTTTCCAAAAATATTTACATTACGACTCATATTAGTAGCAAAAGTACAGTTATGAGGAACAAAGAAAATAATTTTATGTTTGCGAATCATCACAGCATGAGGAACTATATTTAAAAGGTCACAGGATTAGGAAGGTTGAGAACCACTGGTTTAGGGCCTAATTGTCACTAAAGCTACAGTGTATAGCTTCATGTGAAATTTCCAAGTGGGAATTTCCCTAACATTTTTCTGATGGTTCTTTCTTATAGATCAATGACAAAGGCACGCTGCCCCCAAGAAACTGAAGTGATTCCAGCTGATGACATCCAGCTAGAAGCACCTCTGCCATCTTTCATCCTTGACACCCACAACACCGAAACTACTACTGCCATCTTGGGGCCAAAATATGAGCCTGATCCTCAGGTGGAAACTGCCATACAGCCTGACCCTAAACCTGAGATGGAGGTTCATCTGAATCCAGAGCTGGACCTGGAGCCAGAACTAGAGACAGAGCCTGAGCTTGAGGTTGAGCCTGAGGCTGAAATAATAGTTGAGCCTCTGAGTGAGAAGGAAAAAGATACAGTTAAGATGTAGACATAGATAGGTATGGCATTAAGTATGGCAATTCTCACTAAGACACCCATTCCTGGCCTTTAAAATTCAGTGGACTTAACCAGCCCACAGTTTGTCCCTCCATCATAGACAGCCCTCATCTAATAACATGCTTATTTTTGTCATTAATCCAAAATAAATAAATCAAAGTAACTACTAATGAAATGGAAGGGATTTTGCTTTCTTAGTATAGATTACTTTAAACTGTACTAATATGTAAACCTAACAAATGACAAGGCCAAGACAAATGCTTCATTTGTTGGAAGAGTGTTTGCAAAAGTATTTTCTGAATTTTATAGTCATTTTTGGTCATGGTTCACATGTACACATCATAAGGTAGGGTTAATTTGATTGAATATTAATTTGAGGATTAGTTATCTTCTCTATTCACTTTTTATATATATACCTCTGAGAAAACAACTTGACATAATTGGCTCATACATTAGAAAAAAAAATCCCCAAATAAGAATGTATGTATCAATTTGTACATAGAATTTAAAATTAAGTCTTAAAAGTTATCATATTAGATCTTTAAGAAATCACCTCAGTTTCCAACACTTGAGCATAATATTTTTATGGCGCATTTTTTTTCACTGCGAAATTATGTACAAGCAAAAATTTAGAATAAACTTTTCTCTTGGTGGATGTAAAGTGTTGGTATTGGAGGCAATTTATAATATAGCTTTAGATAAGCTATTTTTTTTTTTAATCACTGATGCTATCTGCTTGGGCGATAGCCTGGGACAGTTTTCTCAGTGAGCACTTTGGTCTATTTTACATAATCTAAACTGGGAATTTAAATAATCTGTGTTACTTTGTCTATAATCCATGTTAATGGAAATATCAATCTTACATAAATGATAAATAATAAATGCATTATAAAATCCTTTCTTTACTTTAGGAAAGCTTTTTCACAATCATATTTCGCAACACCTCATTCAGAAGAAATTTACAGCTAGATTTACTTTTTTAAAACTTATGTAATCAATTATATTTGAAATATTATTTTAAAGCTCAATAAATAATTCTCAATAAAATATCATTTAGTGACTACTAATATAAATTTTTAATAAATATTTTTTGTCATGTAATTTATGTACTATAAGCTGTATCCATTTAACTGTGCAATCTGATGAGTTTTGACAATTCACACACTCATGAAAACACCATACTTATTTAGAAGAAAATCATTTCCACCAGTCCAAAATGTTCCCTTGTGTCCCCTTTTACAATTCCATTGTACCCTGAACCCAGATGACCACTGATTTGTTTTCTATCTCTAAACATTAGCCTTTCTTTTCCTGACATTTATATGAATGGTATCATATACTATGTACTTTTGTGTTTGACTTTCTCCTCAATGAAATACTCTTCAGTGGATCTCCATCACATCTAGGATTTGTGTGAAGGGTTCCCTTAACTAAAAACTCTTCTGGGTATAGATCATGCACATTTTTCAATTGATTTAGAGTCTACAGACATTTTAAGGTAAAATGAAGTTAACTGATGCTTATTACTTGTGCCAACCCATAAAAAGAAATAGCAAGCTTTTGCTTGAGTTGTTTCTTTGATGTGCTAATTGGTAGCCACTCTTGAGGATTTTTGAAGCAGCAATGTTTACATTAACAGGTGAGTATAATACAATTCTAAGATATATGGTGTCTGATGGTACAGACAGAACAGGTGAAATATAATACCATGCTATGATATATAGTACCTGATGGGTACTGAAAGAAAACTGCTGGAGGCCCTGAGAATGACCTAACTTTTAGGTATTATAAACTCATACCAAAATTACTCCAGTGGCCAAGTAGCTGTCATTTTATTTTCACTGTCCATTTCTATTATTCGGTAAGTCACAGGAAAAGAAATTGACCTGTGATAGATAGTCAATAACTACAAGCCTAAATTTCTGATGGATTCTTGACTAGGAAGGATGTCACTATTTGTGGTTTTAAATAGTCCTATTCTTACTAGAACGGTTCTATTTGAATACAGAAGAATAGTTGAATTAATGATTTTCTTCACATTTTGAGATCACAGATCACCTTGGGAGCCTGCTGAAGAATATGGACCGCTAGCCATTTAAAAATGCTTATACACATAAGGTATAAGTCTTATGTGTATAAGTCTGTAAGGTGCCGCATACAATTTCTGTATTTTTTTTAATACAGTATTTTTATTATTTGGGGGATGTCACCAAAAATATTTTGGCTCTATTCACCCCCATTACTCCCTGAAATACTACCTAAATCTACCCTCTCCCCTCTCTTAAAAAAATAACTCCCTAATTTCAATTTGTGCTGCTTATATACTTATAAGTATATACTTATATACTGCTTATATACTGGGGGCAGACGGGACTATCCACTTGAGTATGGTCAACCTACCAGAGGCCACACCCTTAAAACTGGCTCTCCCTCTTCCAGAATCCATTGACTGTTAATACCTCTTCAGTTAAGGGTGGGGGTTCATGAACCCCTGACTCCTTTATGCTAGAATGCTGACAAATTTCAGAATTTCTCTTACATAGGTCTTGTGCCAGTAACCACGGCTACTATGGGTACATGAGTGCTGTGGTCTTAGCATATCCAGAGAACACTATTTCACTCTAGTCTTCTCTGACCTCTGGCTCTTAAAATCTTTCTGTTCTCCTTTTCTGATATGGTCCCTGAGCCTTGGGGTGGATGATAGAGGCAAGATTCAGTTCTCAGGAATTGCATTAACCCTTATCTTTTCAGTTGTTGCTTCTCTGTAACTATTCTTGTCTGATGAACAATCTCATTATCCAGTGATCTCATCCAGGTTGATAAGTAAGTTAATTAACTCAAGAAGTATTTGTTTTTAAAATATAGTAGGAAGCAGAAAAAGAAGATTTCTTTTTAATGTAGCTACTTTGGGAAGAGGGACAAAGAGATCCAGTAAGTCCTCCAAGTTTGTCTTTAAGGTCTTGAAGTGAAATTAAATATTAAATAAAGGTATGCACCCCCCCAAAACACACACACAAATGTAAGCATTCTCTATCAAGGTGTAGTCTTGTCTGTGATTGACTCATCATTGAACTTCAGTCTATAAGGTGATCTGCTAAGTTATTAGAACTGTGTGAAATCTCTCTCTGGGAGACATATTCACCCTCTGACTGGACCTTTTTTCTTCTTATAGCATAAGATTACTGGGAAAATTCAGGATTCTTTGGCATACATTTTTTTTTCAGTAGTCTGTTAGATTAGGAGACACAAATATCTCTGTAGAATACCTTTATTTCTGCTAGGCTGTTTATAGCCCAACTTGCTGTCTTAACACTTCAGTCTTAAGGTGGAAGATGTCTGTGTCTGAAATAAATAAAATAAACAGAATGTAAGTAGTACCAAGGTTAGAACACATTTAGTTAATGCCAGGTAGCCATGTATTAAAAACCTTTTTTTCTGTTTTTAAAAATAATTTCTTTATTTTGTTTTTATTTTATGTGCATTATTGGTTTTGCCTACATGTATGTCTCTGTGAAGGTATCAGATGTCCTGGATCTGACAGTTGTGAATGGCGATATGGGTGCTGGGAATTGAACTCAGGTCTTCTGGGAGAGCAGCCAGTGCTCTTAACTGCTGAGCCATCTCTCCAGCCCCAAGAACCATTTTTCATAACCTCTTCACTTCATTATTTTTTAAAGGGCTGGCATAAACAGCTCCATCTTGTTGATCTGAAATAGATTCTAATCTTGAGGCCTAGGTTGGTCCAAATTTACAACCCTCCTATTTTAACTTTCTAAGTTCTGGGCTTACAGGTAAGTGCGGCTATGCCCATTGAGACTTTATTTTATTTCTCACAACTTCCCCCATTGTCTATAAACAATGTTATCTGAAGTCATTGCTACTTAATCATCTGATCGTTTGTTCTTCATTGTCCCATGGTTTGAGGGAGAGATTTGTCCTGGTTAGTCTGATTTGGTCCCAGGTCAGGCATACTGTAAGTCAATTCTGCTTGTGCTGTGGGTAGTGGCCTAGCATTTCAAATGTGTGTGTGTTTGTGTGTGTGTGTGTGTGTGTGTGTACCTTTGTAGGGTGTTAAGACTGTTAGTATAAGGCTTTACAAAAACACAGCTATCAAGAAAAACTTATGTTTTACTTAGCTGTACAGCTTTATATAGACAACCAATAGTCAAACTTCCAAAAATTAAGTAATTGTGCATATATTTACAAATACTTAATACCTATCAATGTATAGAAAGTTTGCATAGATTGCACAGATTCTATACAAATATATTTCGTGTCTAGAATATCAAGTACTCATTTTGTCAGAATAACTGGATTTATACCCACATTTTAATTAGCAAAATTGTCTAGATGATAGTTTTTGATGACTTCTTAAGTCTGCAAGACACTAAGAGGTCAGAATATACTATATATGTAATTAAACCACTTAGGGTAAGCTTCGAAGACTCATAATTATCAATTTTAAGCTGGTACCAGTTGGTTTCAGGAGTCAGTAGCTAAGGAACTGTTCTCCTCCACCCCATCACCCCTCCTCTTGCTCTCTCTTGCTATCTCTCACTCTCTCATGTTTTTTTTTAATTGGGGTCTCACTGTGTTATCCAGGGTGGCCTCAAACTTGTGGGTTTAAGTGATCCTCCTGTTTCCTCTTCCTGGAGCTGGAACTTTTCATGTGTTCCACCATATTTTCCTTAGAAATTTTTTACCTTGTTTGTGGAAGGGGTCCACTATGTTGCTTAGGCTGCCCTTGAACTTAATGATAGTCCTGATTTGGCCTCTTGAGTATTGGTATTACAGATGTAAGCCACCACTACTTCTAGCTTCTTATTCTCTCTCTCTTTCTTTCTCTCTCTCCTGTGTATGTGCGTCTCTGTGTGTGTGTTCAGGACGCCATGTGAAGATCAAAACAATGTGAGCAAATTGGCTTGCTCTTTCCTTCCACCTGGGGCCTAGAGTTTGAAATCAGATCATCAGGCTTACCAGCAGTTCCCTCCTTAGCCCTCAGTATTTACTTGCTAATTGAGACTCTTGAATTGGGACAATCCAGAGAAGAGAACTATCTGGAAAAATGGGAACTTCTCTAGCTGTTTCAAATGAACTGATTAGGGTTGTCATCCACACAGCTTACTTACAGGGCCGCTCTGGATAGGGTAACTTTACTCAGTCTCAGTTGTACATTCATGATGCACACTGCGTGTGTGTTTCTGATAAATCCTGAGCCTTTGAATGATACTTACATAGCAATCTGAACACTAAATCTTACTTGGATAGGAAAGGGGCCTTACATCTTATAAACAGCTTTCAAATTAGGACCCAATGTGTTTTTTTTTTTTTTCTACTTTATCATCATTGAAGCAGAAAATATCCTAATTAATCTTAGACAACATTGTTTTGGCAAAATGTTCATTTAGTGAAAGTGCTAAATCGCTTTTTTTTTTTTGCTACAGAACAGTTAAAACTGGAGTGGTCACAATCAAATGTCAAATCAGCTTTGGGCTTCTTTTGCCACACCTTTTTGTCACAAGGGATTTCCAGAGAATTTTTTTCTCCCTATTGTTCCTGCATTTATCAACAAGAGTAAGCTGAAGTTAGTGGAACAGCTTCTTTTGGTAGCAGGTACTTACTCTCCTGGTTGGCTTGAATGGCTAGCCTTGAATTTATCATAAGAGAACTTCCTGTGCTTTTTGGTGTACTAGGATTACAGGTGCAGCCACCAGGTATAGCTTGGTCTTGGCTGTTCTAATAAGAATAGAATGATAGCCTGTTGCTTTATTAGTGTTATAAATTTCCTCACTTCTTATTAGTTCTTTGAGAAATTCATACAATGTGTTTTGATTGTATTCATTCTCTTCTGACAACTCCTCCAGATCCACTCCCTTCCTGACCCACCCAGCTTTGTGTCCTTCACACACACACACACACACACACACACACACACACACACACACACAC